GGCTCCGGGGTGAGGTGCCAGGATGGCGATGGGCGAGCAGCTGCTGCACATCCTGGATGATCTGAGCGTGAAGGAGTTTGAGAAGTTCAAGTTTTACCTGCCCCATGGGGGCACGGCTCCCCACATACGCCGCGGGAAGCTGGACGGCGCCTCCCGCATCCAGGTGGCTGAGCTGCTGATGCAGACATACCCCCAGGAAGCGCTAGACATCACCAACCAGGTGCTGCGCAAGATCCCAAGGCTGGACCTGGTCCAGGGCGGCCAGCTCCAGACAGGAGGAGAAACTGGGAACTGCGGCGACGATGCAAATCACAGTGAGGCTGCAAATAGCAGCGCCAGGGCAGGTGAGCCACAGGCCTACGGTGAGGAGCACAGCCACAGAGCAGGGCGGTGCAGTGACAGGAGTGGAGAGCTCCCAGCTTCTCTGTTCCCAGCCTCTCCCAGCAGGGGGCACTGTAAGGGGAAGGGCGGCAGTCAGAGCTCCAATGATGGGAAAAGTAGGAGAGGCCCTGGATACCGAGTGGCTTGCTTTAATTTAAATAGTAGTGAGAACTAAGGGGTCCAAAGGACAGCAGTGAGGCAGCCCCTAAAATTAGTTAGGGGGCCCAGTCCCCTCTGAAAACCCCTGTAATTTGAGCACTGGCTGTGGGTGACACAGCTGGCTACTCCAGCCCTGGCGTCTCCCAGCAGGGGGTGCTCTAGGGAGTGGGGCAGGAGCATTGGCTGTCGAGGAAGCTACTGGTTACTCCACTCCCAGCCTCTTCCAGTGGGGAGTGGGGCAGGAAGGTGGCTGGGAGGAGAGCTCCTGGCTACTCCAATCCCAGCCTCACCCAGCAGGGGGCGCTGTGGGGAGCAGGGCAGGAGCGCTGACAAAAGTGCCAGGAAGACTGGAGCTTCCCATGTGGCTGCGTAGCCAGTCTCCTGGCTGACTCTTCTCCCCTCTTTCCCAGAGAGGCAGAGTCTGGTTTCAGAGCAGCAGCTGATGAAGCTGGCAGGGAAAATGGGCAAGACCTGGAGGCAGATCGGCATTGAGTTCCTGGGCCTGGAGAATCACTGTCTGGAGCAGATCGAGGAGAACTATCCCGGCAACACCAAACTGCGAGCTTTCAGCATGCTCTTGGAGTGGAGGAAACGAGCGAAGCAGGATGCCACTGCCATCCACCTTTGCACCATTCTCTCCCAGGACGGGGTGCCCCTGCAGCCCGAGGCCCTCGACTGTCTCCGGGACACAGGCAGTGCCTAAGGAGATCTGGGGGGCTTAGTCCAGGGCAGCGGGTCTCAACCAAGGGTCTGTGAGCAGGGCCAGCGTTAGCCAATCTGGGGCCCAGGGCAGGAAGCCAAAGACCTGCTGTGCAGAGCTGAAGCCTGGGGCCCTGAGCCCTGCCTCCGGGGCTGAAGCCGAACCCTGAGCAACGTAGGCTGGCGTGGGACCCCGGGCAGTTGCCCTGCTTGCTAGCCTCTAACACTAGCCTTGGCTTTTATATGCAGAAAAACAATTGTTTTGGCACTGGTGGGCCATGGAGTTTTTATAGCATTGGGTGGGGCGGGAGGAATGGCGGTCAGAAAGAAAAAGGTTGAGAACCCCAAGTCCAGGGGGTGGAGTGGCCTTGTGATTAAAGGACTAGCATGGTACTCTGGGGACCTTGATTCAATTGGCAGTGGTGCTTTAGTTTTGGGGTGTCTGATTTAAGACACACACACACACACACACACACACACCCAGGGCCTGACTTGCAGAGAGGCCGAGCACCCACTGCTCCTGTTGATCTTAGCAGGAGTGGAGGGTGCTCAGAAACCAGGCCCTCGGTGGCACCCAGGAATCATTGGCCACTTTGGAAAATGCTGGCCTCTGTCCTGTGCCTCAGTTTACCTACATGTGCAATGGGGAAAACATGGCCAGATTTTCTAAAGAGCTCAGTGTCCAGCAGCTCCCATTGCTCTACTCCAGCCAGGGAGGCCCTTGTGCAGGAGAGGGGGTTACTCAGGAGACCAGATGTACTTCCTTTAAATCCACTTTCACTGCTAGCAGTCTCAAGTGCCACCGAGTCAGGCCCCAGATATGTATCTGGTTGCTTCCCCCATCCAGCCTACCACCAATTGCTAGCTGGGGTGGGTCAGTCCAGCAGGGGGCCCAGAACAGCCCCAGGGAATGGATCCAGGCGTGGGGGCAGAAGGAGGGGGAGGAGACACCTGTGATCTGGGGCAGCTATAAAGTGGGAGACCCTGTGGTGGCCGGGCTGGGCTCTTCCCCACTCACAGGGACATCACTCGAAGAAGAACCTGGGGATCCTTTCCCCCAGGCCTCTCCCTGGGGGATCCACTCCCCCGATCTCGCCTTGGGGTCTCGGCTAGGCAGCTCTTTTTTAAAGACCGTTTTTACCAAGAAGCACAATTGAAGCCTT